TTTTCTGTCACCACCCTTGTTGCATATGTCGTGTGCATTCGTGCCTTCACTAGTGAATCCAAGTGTCACATGGTTTTGTTGTCAAGCCAGGCTGGCTTTTCAACAGTGATTTACTGCCACCTCTGTGACTGCTGCATCACCGTCAGCAGGTAGATGGTAGAATCTAGCTGTTTTCTAGAGATAGTGTTTTGTTGCTGTGAGTAATCATCTGGCCCCTGTGCTTAGAGAAAAATCAGATAATGAGACCCGTTTGATGCTCATTGGGATGATTACTTTGTTTAGGGTTAAACAGGTCGTGTTGATAGGATTCAGGGCGATTTTGGGAGTCTGACACAGGTCCCCGTTGATATAGGCTGCACCCACAATTTATGTTTTAGTTTTGTTAAGGACTTTTCATAAATTAATTTGAGAAGTGTTTTTGTTTTAGCTTTCCAATGCTGGCATGCCCAGCTCTGTCCATCCTGCCACACAACCGATTTTCTCGTTGTATCTTTTTATTTTCTGTGAAGTGGTGATTCGCTGTGTGGTTCTGCAAACTTACACTCTCAGGGTTGTGGGTTCTGTGTGTTCGGATGTCCTCTCAGTGTATTCTGGGTATCCTTCCAAACTGGTTTAGGTGAACTGGTATCTCTCGGTTGCCAGCGTTAGGTACTTTCTGGGATAGGGTCCAAACTCACCATGTACTTACTTTGAGCATCATTTTTTTTTTATATTTTTTTTTTTTTTAAAGATTTTTTGGAATTCATTTTTGTGAAACTCTCAAAGTAACAGCAAACCATCTGTGGTTTAATTATTAAAAATACAAAATGAAAAATTAAGACGTTACAATTTTAAAACGAGGATCCCTCTATTTGCTTAGAACTGTACTTATTCCATACAAATGCCATAAACAATATGAAGACATTTCTAATTTTCATACTGTACCGATACATTAATGTGAAATTAAACACTCCAGCAAATCTGTTCTCTGGCTTTGTCCTTGGGAACAACATTAAGAAATCTAAATAGTGAGCGATATAGAAAATTGGACAAAATGAAACTCTGCTAGATGCAGCACTTAAAAAACCCCATTCCTGGAAAAAGCAATAATTAAAATAAATCACCTCCAATACATTCTTTTACAAGTACCTTTGCAACAAAAGGGAAATCCATCCTACTTTCTTCTAACAGCTTATTCCGGTCAAGGTTGTGGCAGCATATAGGGCCCAAGGCTGGGGACACTATAGACCTAATAGCAGTAAATACTTTTCAGCGTAAACCACATAACTATCATCCACTGCTTTAATCTTTCAAACTCAGTTTTTCTAAAGTCCATGACAGGTACTGTATGCATTAATACCCTCTAATGGTATGACCAGTCAAGTTTATTATTGCTAGCGCGTGTGTGCATGTTTATAAGAACATGTGCCTACAACTGGCAGTTGTTTTGCAGCACATTGGCTTTCTGACCCGTCAGAAATTGTACTTGAATGAGTATAAATAGTAAACAGTTGGTGACAATGTAATACTGACAGTGAATATTACTTAAGTATTAATATGATATTGCATCATATAGCAGTACTGGCATTAATTTGATCATGACTGGCAGCAGCCCCTGTAGTCTGACACACTCATTGAAGCTTATCTAGTTTTCACGGGTTTAAAGTGAGTATTGGTTGAGTTGGTACTCTGGAAGCACCCAGCCAGGCGACGTTTTTGCTCCCTCCCTGTCTGGCAGCAAAAAATGTGGTCTGTGGATCCCTGAGGACCGGACTGGGAAACACTGCTCCAAAAGTTTGCCCATAGAATATGATTTTGTGTGAGCGTGTGCAGGGATGTGCCCAGAGATGGACAGATATCCCATCACCCTGACCAAGACATGCAGCTGGAAGATGGACATGCATGTTGATGATTGATCGTCTGGAGAATAGTAAGATATTAAAACATTAAATGCTAGGAATGACTGAAAAATAAGAGCTAATGCTGCTGAAAGCGAAAAAGTCAGTCATATAGGAACGTCTGTGATCAAAGTTAATTATGAAATCTTAAAAAGTTAGGAAATGTTACACTAATTGACTTCTTTCTGGACTGCATTTTAAAGTAATGGCTTAAGAAAAAGAGCCTGGTTTATGGTTCATGGGAGCACATTCTACTCTCTGTGTCTGATGGACAGTCTCATCTATGGTGGACTACATTCAGGAGGGGATATTAATAACCCACTCATTAGGAGACGATGGCTCTAGAGAGATGTTGCCTGGGCAAGTAATACTGAGGGAAGTTGAGGAGAGTGTCAGTTTCATTTTGAGTGTGGTAATTTCTTCTAAACCAGCTGTTAGTGAGGACACGGGTGCCAGCAGATTGCCCTTGAACCCCTGAGGGCAGACTTCAAGCGGGAGCATGAGGAGTTCTGCTTGAAAACGGGGAGAACAATAAGCGAGAATTAATGCCACAGGCATCACTTGAATAGCGGTGTCTGGGGCCACATAGACCCGTGCGTGCGGAACAGATGTGGGGGGAGTGGGAATGGGGTGACTGGGTGTAAGGAGTGTCTGACAGTGAGTTATAGTAAGGCCGGGGCTGCCTCAGAGCCGCCGGAGGACAGAGCAAACTCCTGACTGATGAAGGCCAGATTTTCTGGAGAAACTTTTTTTTAACTGAGATTATATGGGTAAAGGCCCGTATGGCTTTAGTTGCAGCTAGCTGTAATTGCACCCTTGATGAATCTAATCGAATTACAGTAGCTGTTATAATGGGTAAAACATAATTTGCAAACTATGATTGTGGATTTCAATTCCTGTTTAATAACAAGAAAAATAAACTCACATTTTGGAATTTTATAGGGTTAATCAAGTCATGGATTTGGGCTGGAGTCTGGCAAAAATCCTTCCTTTTGGTTGGCGCCGTAAGTCTGTGCTACTGTAGATCAGCGTGTGCCTCCATTATTGTCTTTTATGTGATACATCATGTTAAGTGTTTTTTGGTCCATCTGAGCTCAGAATTCATCATGCTTGGCTGAATGCATTGCACAATTCAAATGACAACAAAACACATTATTTGGGGAGTTTGCATTCGAACTAGAATTGTTTTGACCAAAATAACCGTTTGTTATACTCCTGAAAATGTGAATGGCTGGAAGTATGTTCCTTTCATCTGGAACATTTTTTAACAGTTCAGAATATGGTTACTAATGCATTTCTTGCCCATTAGTTAATTATTCATGGCTACAAATGAGCAAACAATGCTTTGCAAAAAAATTTTGAATATGTCAGAAATATTTGCAAACATCAGGTCTACTTTTCAACATAATAATTATTCCTAACATACTTTGGTTTAGACCAATTAGACAGTCAAGAACACTTGTCAGCTAACACATTTAATCTTACCCTGAAAGTGTTTTGACAAAAATGTTATGTAAAATTTCAGATATCTATTTAGACCAAAATCAACATATGGATCCAAGGTTTGGTTATGCTGTTTTAAATGGAAACCTCTTGATTGAAACGTTGATGTGACATTTTCATCAGCTGGAATTTATGTAACATTTTTAACTGTTATATTTAGCTTAAGGAATGATGTTTCATCATTAGGCACTTCTGAACCATATGCTGTTACAAGTTGAAAAGCTTCTCATCTTATGTATGACATTGTCGTTTTAGCAGCTGATCCATAGAAAGGGTCAATGATTTCTGCTTAATTACGAGCCGACATACAAAGGACCTGTTAATGGAAAACAAGGGGGTGTGATTTCTGTCTCAAAAGAGAGCTGTATGTGTTATTATTTCTCAGTGTTGGAGGGGTAATCAAATTTAGATTAATATTTATCCCCTGACCATTGGTATGCAAAGAATGAGAGATGTGTGCACAAACAATTATTATAGACACATTTCCCAAATATGGCTTTTAAGGTATTATTTATGTGTTTGTTTGTTGCTTTTTGTGCGCAAAGAGATTTCCGGAAATGATCCCCCCCCCCCGTTTCTGTTTTATTTTGCATGTCTGTATCGCTCAAGGCAGAATAGGTCCAGATTACAGCTTCCACCACTCTGTCTTTGATTCGTAGGCTGGAATTGCAGTCAGCACAAACCTACCACATCTGTCTGGTTCTTTTAATGTGGTTACAGTACACATTAAACACCAGTTGTGTCTTGTAGCTCAGATACTGCGAGAAAGAAAACAGTAAAACATTTACTTGATTTGGTTATACAGTTTTAAATATTACCCCGCTGCCTGCGACACCTCCACTAGCCGTGGCGTCTTTCCGGCCTGCTCGCCCTCCTGCCCGTGACGTCTTCCCTGCCTGCCCCGCTGCCGTACCACTGTTTGTCCAGCCATCTGAAGCAGCACCAGCAATTGCCTGCCATCACCTGCCTGCCCCCTGCTTTGAGATTTAAATGTTCAAATTGGGACAGTGTGAATTGGGACTTTGCCATCTTGCTCATTTGGCTTCCTCTGCCAGCCCCTGGAGGATGGGCTCCCCCTTTGAGTCTGGTTCCTTCTGAGGTTTCATCCTTCTAGAGAGTTTTTCCTTGCCACTGTCACCTCTGGCTTGCTCACTGGGGGCTTTGGGCAGGGATGCTGTAAAGTGCTTTGAGACAATGTGATGTTGTGAAAATGTGCTATACAAATAAAATTTAATTGAATTGAATTGAATTGAATTTGAGATGGTTCAGGCTGTGGTTCTGCTCGGTAGCCACCATTGCAGAGAGAGTTTCTGTGCTATACAGGATCTTTAGCAAAGGAAGTATCTTTGGTATTCAGTTGTTAAATTCGCATTTTGTTTTACTGCATTGTAGGCCGGGAGACATATTGGTGCACTGGGTTGCGATGGTTTAAATCCTGCCTGTGCACTGTGTATGAGGCAGGACTATGTTTCCCCTGTGTTTTGTGAATTCCATCCCACAGCCCAAAAACAAGAATCCGGTCCATGGTGTTCCTGGAAGATGGATGGATGTAATTCTGACTGATGCATAAAGACCACTATTTTTTCAATCATTTTTATTGATTATTTGTTGATTCCCCAGCAAATCTTCCTGTTAGCAAAGACCGAAGAGGAAATATTTGCTCACTTGGGTCTTGAGTACATTGAACCCTGGGAGAGAAATGCCTAACTAGTAAGGAAGGTTTATTTAATTTCATTCATATTTCTCTAACTGCCACAATACACTGCTGATTTCTTTAAAAAGAACATAAAAGCCAAATGAAATTCATTATTACAGTAACAATATATATCATACTGAGACATACTATTACAATGTACAGTATCCTTCGCTGTTTACTTCCTTATGGAGACTGAAAGAGTCTTTTAGGAATCCTGGGGCTGAATAACCATAGCTAACAGAATCTGAAGCTAACCAAAGAAACAGTCATTGTGACATAACTCTGTATTGATACCTTGATTTCATCACAGTTTGGCCCTTGTTTAATCACACATCATTCAATTTCCGGTTTAATGGGCTGCATGCAGCTTTCTCACGTGTGAGAAGAAAGTAAAATCTTCCATATTTCACAATCTAATAATTAACGACAATTCAAAATGGGGTTTATTGGCCGAGTATGCTAACACACAGGGAATTGTCAGTGGTTGCAAATGGCTCTCCAGTGTACTTATATGACAGCTCAACATGCACACGCAAGATACATACACGACACAAGACAATGGTCACATACTGTCTAGATTGCATTATTGATACTTGATAATATTATTAATTCCTAAAAAAGCAAGTCTGATTTGATTCTGTGATTTATAAACCATATGATATGCCCTATTTGTTAAAAAGCTACAGTACTTCCTTTAGGTGCAGTCCATTCTGCTATGCCTGTTTAAAATAATAGTGTGTCTCTATTTTTCAGGCACATCGTTTCCTGCCAAAGGCAGAGACCCGGCTTTCATATCTCTGCACATGCTGGCCTGCTTGTATCACATGATGCTTGAAGAAGAGCATGATGGATCACCTGGATCACAGTCTTCTTATGAATTGGTCTATTAAAAGATTATTAAATAGAGCAGGTCAAGCGCTCTGAGAACTCCCTGAAACCTCTTTGCTTGTCTCCTCTTGCTCTAGGATCAGCTTTAAAAGCAATGCATGTGCCAGCATTTATATTCAGACCCAGGAGTGAAGCTTTCAGCTTATAATTACTATCGCATGCCCAACTCTGCAAGTTCACAACTTGGGTGTTTGAAGAATTTTTCTTCATATAGTAATTGCTTTATCCCACATGGGTTCGTAAGTAGGTCTATGGTGTTATTTATTGAATAGTGGTGCAAGCAATAACTGACAGTATGTTTTCCAGCTCATCGAGCAGGAACAATTAGTTTCAAACAAGATTTGCACATTTGATCATGGTATATCAATAAAATCTAAATGCAATTCAAATTTTTTGGATGCATTTACTGTTTTAGACAGAGTGGTCAGATTAGGTTCAGTTGATCGAAACTGCATTTAAGTTTCATCCAAGCTGTTGCAACCCTTTAGCAAAAATTAAAGCTCCTTGAATCTGTGCCACGCATAGCTTATAAATACTGACACCAACTTGCATTGAGTGTCTCTGGCTATTTGCCAGAATCGACCCTAATAATTAAGGAAAATGAATTAGTCATCTATGGGGAGACACTCAATGGAAGAATTAAGCTACTGTCAATTCTAATGGATCCTATTCCAGTCCTCTGCTCTCCCAGTCCACCTACCCATGTCCTGGAAATATCAAGGCTGTTTTCTAGCTCCATTCATTTGTCAGTATGAATATTAAGAATGGGGATGTAGAGAAGCAGTTGTATGGAGACTGATTCCCTTGAAGGCAGCAATGTCATTTGCCATGAAAAATTATGGCTGAGCCATCAACAAAGGCCCTTGTGGTATAGAACGTCCATTAACAGAAACCCCGTGTCTACAAAGAGACCCAGGAGTGTAAAATGACATCGCAATTACTGGATTGTAAAATGTGAATGCCCTTTAACAAGCCAGTTCTTACCCTAGCCTCCTTCTGTGTTTATCTGTCTGTTTGAGTTTGACTACACTTGTTTTGCATCATATGTTTTTAGATAAGTACTTGAAAGAAATAAAATATTTAAAAAAAATGTATTACCAAAGCAGTGTTCAAGAAACAAGGGAATGGTCTCAAAATAGTCCTCAAAATAGTCACCATTCCTCTTGCTAACAACTTCACAGACAAGAGGCTTTCAGTTAACAGGTTTCGGCAGGAAATCATCTGATGTATCTTCCAGTTCGTCTGAGGTAATTCCCAATCAGCAGTAATCCTGATGGGGTGCCATGCCTTTGTAGTATGCAACAATGGCCAAGATGGTTGAGATTCACCAAATCTGTCACCAGCAATACAACCCTAGACCATGACACTGCCTGCTTCATGCTTGACAGTTAGATGCATACATGTACCCTCTTTGAGTTTTATATGCACAGTAAAGTATAAGAATAATAATATGTATATGTAAGAGTAGCATAGATAATTGTTTTCAAACAGATGTACTTCGACTTGCACTATGGCAATTTGTGATTCTAATTTATGACATCAGAATGAAATTTTTTTAATGTGTCAGATCCAGTTACCCTGTTTAACCTATAAAGCAGGGGCAAGGGGGCAAAAGAACTGCAGCCCCTGCGTTCTAGGGGGCTGATTTTGAGTTTTTATCTTTTTTATAACAAAATACATAAATCAAATGTCCACTTCAAACCATTTACAGTATATAACAATTTTGGTTAAAGTATTTCATAATAATATATCTTACATTTGGCTGACTGATCCACTGCTGCAATACCCTCCCTCCCCCTGATCGGCAAATTTGACTGACAGCACTCCTGCCCCACCCTGATCGGTAAGTTTTACAGCTGCCCCCTTGTGCTTTGATTAGCACATTATTGATATTCCATCATTTTCATTTCCCCCTCGTTTCTTTCCTGCCTCCAAAAATAGCACAAATGGCCCAATTAGGGGGCCCCTACCCCTCTCAGTCTAGGGCCCCCAGAGTTAGTCCGCCCCACTGTAAAATCACTAATGTGCCTTGTATATTAAGCACTAACGATATCTACAGTAACAACTAAATACTTCATCACAGCATTTGTTCATCACAAGAGAAAAAAGTTATGAAGATGCATTAGGATCGGGACTGAGAGTTTAATTCTGCTTACGTAAACTTTTATGTCTTTCATTGTCAGAAGAGTGATATATCCAGCCTGTTGTACCAGTAATGATGTGTGTGTCTAGGCCAGTGGCATGCCATGGAAGCAGGTGACAGAATAAGGGCAATGCCCACCTTTCACACATCACAGCCCCGATGAAGTGAAATTAATACTTTGGGATCCAGTCAATGTGGAACAGAGGAATAAAAGCCTCTCAATCCGCACAGATCAGACACGTTGAGCCCAAAGCTGTTCTTTATGTGTCATACACGCACCTCCCTTCATTCACTCTTCAAAGACCCGTCACAAGATCTCCAGAATGCTACAGAGAAAGGGACCAAATGCAGAAGTTCAGTCCCAATTATGTGCAGTGTAGCAAGTATTTTACAGATACAGCAGACTCCAAGGCACTGGCAAACTGCCCGAGCCCAACTCTGCCCAAGGCCTCGCAAGCAAAGCACTTCACCACCAGGGAAAGAGAAATGGCATGCAGGAGGAACTGTTGTCGCTGTTCTGATGCTTTTTTCCCGTTCCATCCACATGTTCCAGTCCAAAAGCAGAAAAGTTGGGCTCATATCAAATACAGTGAATCACCACTGCACACTGGCACCCTGCAGCAGCCCCTGTAAGATGCCGCCCTGGGTGACTGCCCATGTCACCCATACCTAAATCCGCCAGTGCTACTGCACAGTGACTTTCATTAAATAAATGGCTGTTCCTTTAAAAGCTTTAAGTATTGGGGAAACTCTGTATGTTGGTCCTGAAGTGCAAAACACCACACATTGAGAAAAATCTTTTTTCTCTTTTGTATGTCTGTCTGTTTCCTTATGTGTGTTTGTGTGTCATTGTGCTTTATTTTTGATTCCACACAAATGAAATGACAACGGCAAGAAAGTGAATGATTTAATTGTTCATTAAAAAAAAAAAAAATCTTACATGATTTTGCATTTCCTTAATGCATTTTTAGAAAGTCTGCCATGATGAAATTTGTTAAAACTCATTAAAAATAATTTGGTGCTTAAGTAATTTTCAAAATCATCAAAGAAATCAACCCAATAACCCCAACCTCATTTGATTCAAAATTATTTTGAAGTTTGTTATTAAGCTGTAGAGCTCTGCTGAATAAAATAAATATTTCCTAGTATTAACTTAACCTGTCTGTATGTCTGTCTGTTTTTTATCGTTCCACTGCATGATAATACAAAATGATTTCTACATTATTCTAATTATTTTTGCATACTTTATTTTTCCTGTGTAGAAGTAATAAGCTATTAATGTAAGAATGCATGTTAAATGTGTTATTATTTCTGAGTTGTAATAGCTCAAGGTACTAATTTACTTGTTCCATTTCATTCCTTTCTGCTTAATCATTAATATGATTGCAAATATATGTACATAATATGGGTTTACAAAAAGTATACAAATTTAATAGGAGACAGTCTTATGAATTCAGGTCATTTTTCCTGAATGGCTATAATGATACAGTCTAAGTGGCAGTGTGGTGTTTGTCTGATTAATGAGTCAGTGTGATTTGTCTTTAAACACCCAAAGGCTTGCAAATTGAAAAGAGGTTCTACCTCTTGAAGGCATAGCAAGCATCCAGTCTAGCATTAATGAGAAAGAGTCAACAGACAGTTGCATGAACAACACAGGCATTTTAACGTGAAAGTGATAGACATATCATGTGCCTAGTGGAAGTCTTCAAATGGTTCATTTTGCTTCATCATGGCGCTGTGCTTTATGCTTACTGTACCTTAATGGTCCATTAGGATACTGTTTCCAAAGTAATTCTGGGTTACCCCATTTCTTTAATTTGTCAGTCTCTGCTTAGAAGTTCAGAGAATTGTCGGCTAGTTTACACTGTTATGTCACTCCTATGTCACATCTAAATAATCTTATTCTTTAAAACATGCAGCTAATTTAATCAGATAATGATCTCTGTCATACCATTAGCAATGTGTGTTGCAAATGTGTAACTTTTAAAATAAATAAGAATACAGGAACAAGCCTGTCTTCACCCATGAGCACCCCGCAAACAATAAAACACTTGATAAATCGTTACATAACTGGAATTATGGGTACATGAGCTACTTTATTGGGTACACCTAGCTAGTACTGGATAGGAGTTACTTTTGCCTGGAGGGTAGACAAGCTCAGAGAAGCCTTTCTGCACACCACTGTTGAGGAGAGCCATGATTTTTGCAATTGTGGAATGCCTGTTAGTCTGGAAATGCTCTTTTCACTACTGCCTTTCATAAAGTGTTTTCAACCTGAGCACTGCCACTGCCGCTTTATTGCACTGTAAACTCTAAACACTGCAGTGTGTCAGAATGCCAGCAATGTTGCTGTTTCTGATAGCAAAAATCACACTGCATTCAAAAACACATCTTAGCCATTCAAATGTTTAGTCAAACAGTAACTGAACCTATTGGTCCAATGTGTGTGCTCTATGTACAGACAATAAAAAGTAAGGCTGGACAAAACTTCTGGGGGCTAATTTATAAAGGCTTTGCGTGAAATAGATGAGAAACATTTGTACACACATTTATACGAAGATTTTGGGATTTGTAAAGACACAACCAAAATAAAACACACCTTGAAATAGTTAACACATTTACGAATGGTTTATTGCGGTCGTACTCATGCAGAAAGAAGAGGCATCTGGAGTTCAGATAGAAATGTACATCTTGCAAATGTACAAGTTGCATTTAATCAGATTTAGCACTTGGTGAAATGCTCATTAATAAATACAGAAAAATTCTTATTATACGTGATAATAACATTCAGCATTTGTTTTATCAAGGTAAGTTGAGATGTTTAATCTACCACTATAGATTTTTGTTTTAAGAGAATATTTCCATTAAATGTACCTGATTTGTTATACTGGGTTTAGATTGACATAATGGTGGCTCTTGATTCATTCATATTGTAACGCCATTGAGATGGCTCCAAATAATGGAACCAGTTTGCACTTCCCGGGATGCTCTGTAAGCCTTGTAAGTAGCCATCCTTGTTCATGTAAACAGTGTGTAGAGCTAGTGTATATTGTCCTGTGTTATGTTGTGTTGGGAGTGTCATGTACAGTGTTTAATGTTATGTGTTATAAATAGTGTGTTGTTGTGGCAATCGAGATGGGAGCACGGTGACCAGAGGGTGAGTGGGTTGGTGCTATACTGTATATCTGTGTTTGGTCCTTTGATGGGCTACTATTGAAGAGCACATCTTTAAAATGGTCTCGTCTCTCTCGTTACTGCCACAGCAATGCCTGGGTCTGCCGGTTATTACGATATATAGCATTTGTATTAACAATGCAATGCAGTAACAGAGGGAATTAGAAATAAAGGTCTGCCTTTAATACCAGCCTGCCTCAAATAAAGGCCTGCTACTATTTGAGGAAATACAGTAGTCTCAAATTTAATTTGGGTCAAACTATGGAATAAACTGAAGTAAAGAAATGTATATAAAATCTCTCGATTTAGGATTTTTTTTTCTTACATCTTACATCTGCCTATATTAATATGTTTGTCTTACTGTGCCATGCACACACAAAAAAAAATCCACTAAAATAGACAAGGTTACATGCCATGTCGTTACAGAAAAATAATTAAAAGAAAATGTCAAAAAGGCAGAGTAATATGTATGTGGATGCCACTGCTAATGAGGAGGAACAAGAAATGTGCAGCGCAGGTGCAAAGTTTGATGTAACTAACCGATGTCGATAAGGAATATAGTGTTGTTACGTGTTTAAGTAATTAATAGTGCATTATCGTTGCTACAGACCGATTTGTGTGTATTAAGCACTGCGGACAGGAAGCTTCTATCTTCCAAATGAGTATCTCATCCAATTTTAAGGCTTGAAACAATTGAAATTCTGGTCTAGCACAGTTTCAGTCGTACTTGATATATTTAATATTATATCATCAACAGAATGAGCAAAAGTCATAATTGTGGACTTTATTGGGTATCTTTGAAGTATTACCACAAAATGAGGAAAGTATCACAGTGTATTACTGCTGGACTATGCATTAATGAGAATCCCCTACTGTTTTAATGGTATGATATATCACATGACTGAAAACTGGGTCCTTCCCTTGATTGATAGTAATGTCAAGAGGCAACAATTTGAAAGTTAAGTAATATCCATCTATCTTCAAAACAATTATCATTGTCAGGGTCACCTGGAGCCTCTTAGAGACAACATAGGGCATAAGGCTTTGCTACACCCTGGACAGCATGCAGGTCTATATTATAAATATATTTGCACAGTCAATCACTAGTAGTAACAATAGCCTACAATTTAATGGTGGAGATCAAATGAAAACACTATTGCTCCAAAAATATTTCAGTAAGTTTACTTTTATTTATAAATAATACATTTGCTAAAGCACCCAATGTCATATTGATGACATGGTGTTGTGCATATGAACATTCCTATTATAATTTAATGATACAGTTTCATTATAAT